GGCCCCGCGGCTCCACTTTGATCACTGTAATAACTTTGTCAAATCAAATTACATCGAAAGATTGTCAGGCAGAAGACCAGGATAGCTTGACCTCATCCCAGGTCAATCAGTAAACTAGTAATTTGGTTATAAAAAATGATAAAATCAGGGGCTAGTCTGTAGAATAAACAATCTCTGAGTATGAGATAGGATCAACCAAGGGGATTAACCCTGATTAACCCTTCTCAATGGGACGTTCAATGGTTGGTGTAAAATGCCCTCTGAAGAGTTAGACAAAATTAAACTTAAACAAGTGGCTAATTAACTTATATATCAGTAAAATTTTAACTCAATGCCTAACTTCTTGGGATTGGGGCTGCTGTGGCACTGTGATTTAGGCACTTTCTTGCTGACCTAGGGAGTATAAGATAATGCCAGTTGGTTGGTAGATGACAAGTTCTACTTCCAGCAGATGCTGATATTGCTGACTGACTAGATAGTTGGATTAGTTCAATTGAATGATTCTGCACTGTTGGTTTGGTAGTTGAATATAAAACCCAAAAAGGTAAAAATAAGATTTAAATAGCTTCATTGTGCAAAACCAGAAGTTGTCAAGAATTGTCTGAATAAGTCAAATTAAGTGGTCTGAACAGCAGACGTACTGTAATATTTGATGGTTTTCCCCTCATAATTTATCATAAATTTAAGGATAACTCTACATTCACTATAAAGAGTGTCAACAAAGTATGGAGTAGAAATGATATTTGTCCAGTAGAAATATGAAATTTCATCCAAACAAAGTCTACATTTTTAGTAGTACTTGTCACGTACTTACATGTTCCTCCTTGATCAATAGGCTTATCTCTTTACTGGCTTAAAGTGACCCAGCGAGAAAATGTGTGGTTCCCTTTGATGAATGGGGGTTCTGACCTTGCCTTACTGGCATAAAGGGAGGGAGTAGGGATAAAGGGCTACCACGTTGATCGATAGGCTATTTTCTTTACTGGCTGAAAGTGGCAGTGAATTTCTAGAAAGGAAAGTAGGGATCCCCATGATGAATGGGGGTATCTCCCTGTTGGCTTAAATAGAGGGTGTAGGTCTTAAGGACCAAGGATAAGGATACTGGCTTAAAGTAACAGTGCAAGTCTATGGCTAGAGAGAAAAGTGGTTGCCTTTAATGAATGGCTTAAAGGAATACTACGTCTTAGAATGAATATAAGATTTAAGAATTTTTAACTTGGCCTGTAAGAGCATGTATATTCATCAGTAGATATACCTAGTGTCATAAATAACATAACAGGATCCTTATATAATCCGATAAATCCAAAAAAATTTTGAAAAACGCTTAATATTATGATAAAGCATTTTTCAATAATTACATAGTTTTATAAATTTTCCAATTTTCCAGATTTTACAGGGATTCTGTTGTAACTTTATGACACCAGGTAAGTTCACTGATGAATATATACTCATATTGACCATTCTTGAGAACTTAAAAATTATGTTCATTCTAAGACGTAGTATCACTTTAAAGAGATTTTGTAGGGTTAAAGGGCTAAGTTGAAAGCATGTTTTACTTGATCAAGAGGCTTAGCCTTATCAGCTTGAATATGATTTCCTCCTGCTAATGTATCTTTAAAGAAATTATTGTTTAAACAGATTTGTTGTCAATTTGATTGAATGTGGGAAAAAAATGATAAAAAATTGACATTAAGGTGTAGAGGTTTAATAAGTAGTATTACAAGTTGTCATAAAACAAAATCTTACTGTCAATATTTCATTTGTCAAGTTACTTTTTTTTTTGTGACGTTATCTTAGGGGATTTTAATTCTTTATACAGAATTTCTACATTAGAAACAATACAATTATGCCATATATGTATTATGCCCATGTGCTATTTTGAATGAGGAACAGTGATAACAGTACAAATATCTTCTGGATTTTCACATTTGCTTAAAGGACTTTTGTCTGGATTTTGTCATTTTTTTGGCATTGGTGTTTAAAAGGGTTCCTTGTTGAATATGGAGTGTGTCTGTAATGCAGAATTAAAGTGATGTTCTTGAATAAATTAAAGACAGTAATTTTTTCGAGTGGTGATCTACAAAACAAAATCTAGATAAGTTTGGATAATTATGGTATAACATTCTTTGTGCTTTAAAATATAAGTGGATCTGAATCTGAACGCTATGGACACCTTGGTATTTCAATACAATAGAAGTGTAGGTTTATGTTGATTTTTCTCAGTGTTAAAGCCATCTTGATCTTCTGCTCTATTTTTTCTTTTCACTTCCATAACACACATGTGTAGAGATACAAGGTTAGATTGTAGTCAGTGTAAATACAATGTGTTTATTTAATGCATATTTTAATATGAGTGTGAATTTGTAAATGAATAGAAGGACAAAAGATGTGCAAGGACACTCTTTATAGGTATTAAGAAAGACATACCTTGAATTAAATTGACGCTGACTCAGGAGGTTGTATTTGAAACCTAAATGTTAGTGATAAATGGTTAGGGGCACAAGATCTAAAAATGCAGTTGTTGTATGCAAACGGCATGACAATTGACACATGGTCATATCATATATTTAAATCTATACAGGAGTTTTGACTTTGTGCTGCTCCAAAAGAGAAGAACTGTGTGCTATCTAGTTGGTTGCCTGGTTGAGAATGTAGAAAGCAATATTTTCTTTTATACTCATTTGAGTTTAGAATTGAAATATTCATTTTTTTAAATTTGAAACAATATGACACTCAGCATTTGACAATTTCCAACAAACCACACATCCAACAAGGTTGGATTTAAAAATAGGATAGGCCGATATCTCAAGTTTTCCATATAGTTAAAATAAATAAAAATCAACCTTGTTTCCCTGTTTAAGCTGATAAGAAATGTAACATTGTCAAAAATTTTCAATCAATCACTCAGTCAATATATATAGTTGTCAGGTCAGTGGACAGGTTTATTGGTCACTTGGACTGGTTTTTATTCAAAATGTATTTTGTCAAATATATTACGTACATGTGTATATCTGACTTTGTTTCTGTGTTTCTATTTTTTTCTTCAATATTTTATCAGATTTTAAGAGGCTCTTGGTGTGACTTGGCATATATGGAATTTTGAACATATGCCGTTTTTGGTAAATTTTATTTAGTGAAATATTTAACGTACATGTATGTGTATATCAGACTTTGTTTCTGTGTTGGTAAATTCTGTATTTGAAATTTCATTTTCGGAGGTTACTTCTGACTGCTGTTTTTAACGTCAGTATTTATGGAATATTGAAACAGTTCATGTTTTTAGTGACTTGATTATTTGTTAAATGTTGTATTTTTATTGTGTTTATGATTTATGACTACTGATATGTAAAGAATTTGTCTTCAGACTATCTTAAGAACAATAACTGTGAATAGCATTGATAGAATATGTGATACAAGAATCTTAACAAAAATAGGGGCGAATTATTACATACAGTAAGGGCAGTCTTGGAAGAGTACTTCAATATTCTTATCATGAGGTTTAAAAAGCATAGACTGTATTCAGCTCTAAGGCTAATTGATTCAAATTTTTTTCAAATTAAATGTAGATCCAAATTTAATCCCATAAAGATGTTCATCAGATCATTTGACTTCTTTACTACATTTTATTTGACCATTAAAAGTTGAAAAAGTTAATTCAGGTCAATCTGAATTGGTGAGGGTCCAAGATGAAAATCTACTCAAATATATTAAATGTTTATATTGACTAGGGGACATCAGTTAATCATCATTTTGTTTACATTTTCTCATTTCTTAGAGGTAATTTCTTTCCAATTTGACTTTCAATTGTTGTGATTTTCAAAGGGAATTGATCTTATTTGGGCGTCTTAAGGAGAGTTTCAGAAAAAGGGTGAGTTTTGAAATTTGATTCATTTCATTTGTGCCACAAAATCCAAAGTTGTGGGTTATCTTTAAAACCATTGGTTTGGTGTAGAAATATAGATTAACTTCATGGTACTTGGATGTTTAGGCATAGAAAACGAATTCACTTCATATGAATGAGAAATCAGCAAGTAATAGGATTTGAGAATTCTTAGTCTTGATTATAGTCTCTTAGAAGTCAGATGGATGTTCTTTCATGATAGATATTTAAAATTTGTCAATTTGGTTTAAAACTAGAAGTAGATGGGTTCTCTGTCATCAGAAGAGGGCTATTCAAAAAATTTAATTCGAGTTTGTGTCTGATATATTATTCGGTTCAAGAATTGTAAGGCGTTTCTTTTCAATTAATTCAATTTCCCTTGCACGGTGATCTTCAAGAAAAGAGGAAATAAAGGTTGGTTATGAAAGTGGTATTGAAAGTTTAATTTGTAGTTGTGATGTATACCTTAAGGCCCTATGTTAATGATATTAGTAATGTTACCTAGGGTTTTGTTATGTAATTTTTATTAAGTTTAAGTTCGGGGGATATATATGATTTAAAATGGAAGGCAAAGATTTAGTTTAAATTTGATTGAAGACTGATGTTATTTTGGAATATAGATGGGAGAATTCTTGAGGACTATGTTCAGTTCTGTTGGTGATGATGTCACAAAATGTTCATATGTTTGTTGTAATTTACCTTTGAAATATTTTTAACTGCTTATGAACATAAAACAAGTTTAATTTTAGAAAAATTTGAATGTGGGCATATGTTCGTGGATTTGTTTTATGTCTCTTAAGAAAAAACAGAAAAATATTACATGTTTGACATGATGGTCATATGTGGTTAAAGCCTTGATTGCAACCAATATATGACCATATTGGTCAGACTTGTTATCTGTTATTTGTTATTTTTGCTTTAGTCTGTGTGTAATAATGTGAAATTTTGAAGAAACATTGAAGTGTATAAAAACAGAACATGATCCTTTTGGGCTAAATTTTCCATGATGCTGTGTTAACAACCCCAATTGCAGAGCTGCTTCAGGAATTCAAAATACCATGATTAATATAACATAGACTCTTTTGTGATTGGTTACTGTGATAATCTCAATCCAGCCATGATGAAGTTGAAACAAAAAGGATTACGTAAAAAGTTTCTGACCAAACGTAAGAAAAAGAATAGTGACAGTGGGTCTATTACCTCCCCTGAAGTTGATCTCACTTTAGAAGGAAATAATGCTTCAGTATTTTTTGATCTGCCAATCAAAAATGATTTGGAAGGAGATTCTGGTGCCTCCATGACAATGTCACCACGATCTCCTGGTTCTCCAGATCCTGATTGTCTGACGCCAGTCGCTGTAACAGACGACAGTGGAACTGAGGATCAAGTGCAAGAAATATCTCAAATGTTTGCTGACTTAATCAAAGAGGTTGAAAATGGAAATTCTACGGATAGTACGTTAATAGGTGATCAGTCATTGGTCTCTTCTGGTCATGTGTCTCCTGTCTCTGATCAGGAACTAGAGAAACTAGAAATGGAAGATGAATTTATGGAATATAAAGGTCCAACAATCAAAAGTTTTTATCAACGAAATTGGAATTCATCATTTGTGTGTTCGTGTGATCCGTCCAGTGTATGTAAAATGGATGTTATTATAAAACATGTACACATATCACCAGGGAAACCTGATGATCAAGTGGATTGTGTCCAAATTCTTGGAACTTATTTAGTCAAGGTAAGAAACTAACAGAGTCAAACATAATTATGAAATATCAAAAATGCAAATCGGCCTGTCTTAACCTGCCCAGGGGCAATTTTTTTTATTTTAGATACTTTCAATTAAAAATAAAAAAAGCACCACTTATAATAATAATGATTCTTTATTTTACACTGGTCAGAATTAGACCCACAAGATAATATGAAAATGTCCTATTATTAGCAAATGGGAACAATGTATGGTCAGATAGAAAAACAAACACACACAAAAAATAAAAATTCCAGTTCTGTCTTAACGGTCATTTTGTATTCACCAGAAAGCACATCCATCTGTAAATGATGTCTTTTGAATTTTGTTTTCGAGAGTTTTTTACAAATGATTTGTTACAAGTAGCAGGTTTCTGAACACATTTTTGACATAATGATCTAAATCTTTCTACTTGTTTCAAACTTGTCGATAAATTAGTTCTATTGACCCACTCACTAATCAATCCATTCCTCTGTTGTCAAGTCTGCTTCATTATTATTTTATAGAATAAGCTGATTTAATACACAAAGGCTTGATCTTTCTTTCTTAGAAACACAATAATGTTGATACTTGTGAAATATTTGAATTGAAATGTCTATGATAAATCAAATTTAAAATGGTCAAGAGAGAGCATTTGATAAAGTTTTCTTCAAGTTAAAACGATTTTGTGGCAGCATAAAGATTTGACATACGTATTTGAAAAAATATTACAAAATAAGGTTTAGATCATCTAGGACTTCTAGCAGGGCTGCTGATTTACCTTTATTTGCCAGTCATGTCTAATTGAAACTGCAAAATGAATTTTTCTATGGAAATATGCTAGAGTTCTGTGCCTTCTTTATGAAAATCTTTACAAGATTTTCATTTATGTGTTAAAATGTTTAGTTGTGAATTTCTGAATTAGTTGGCCCTGCCTTCTAGTTCTGTATTCAAACATTTTTCAAATTGTTTCATCTCGAAAAATAATACAATAGCCAAATATAGTGCCTATAGGTGACAAAATCTTCAAAATTATGAATAAGACAGTAAAAAGGAGACAAATTTCCTTTCTGGAAAAACTTTTTGACTATTGTCTGCTGTTAACCTCATTCTTTTACCCTGGTTAAAATAGACACGACATAGTCTAAACAGATTAGTCAGTATGATTGATTATTGGTTATTGAACTTTAATCATGGAGATCAGATATCATTTAATACTCTCAACTATTTTATTATAATCATATAGACATGTCTACAGACTTAATACTTATTTACATCATGATATCAACTGATAATGGACCAAATTCTTGTCATTTTAATTGTAATTTCTGCTATTTGCAATATCATGGCAGACTTATAAAAGGTGGAACATAATCAGGAATAATGTGGTAGTATAGTTTCTTGTTCAATATATTTGTAATTTGGTGAATTAATCAGTAATATCTGACCTGAGCTAAAATATGCCTGATGCCTAATTCAAGTTTAAGGTCGTGGTTTTCCATTTAGGGGATTCATCTTGAATTTACTAAATGGTCTTTAGAAGTACTAAAAATGTATGGAAAATGCATGATTTCTTACAAAATATCTCAAACTAGGAATTTCTACTCCTATTTCTATAGATGTCTTTTGTATATATGACAGTGTCTAAAGAAAAGACAACTTGTCTATTTAACTTCCAAACGTGGATAATTCTAGACACACATGGATTTGAAGGCTCAAATTTCGACAGTGAGATGTGAACACTATTACTGATTAGCTTCGCTAAAAAATTCCCGTTTCTGAGACTAAGGTATGATTGGATAAACGGATGGCAAACCTATCCCTTTAATACATATTATTATCATGACATCAACTGATAACCACTCAAATTTATTTTGCAATTTGCATCATTTGTAGTACTCAATAGACTTGTAAAAAGGGGATCTTAATCAGGACTGATTTGGTAGTATAGTTTCTTGTTTAATATATTTGTAATTTGGTGAATTAATCATTAGTGTCTGATTAGAGCAAAAATATGACTTATGTACCATCCAGTTTTAGGGGCCACTGATGGACGTGTTCAACCAGGATCACAATGTGTCACATATACATAGTTTTTGGTGATAATATTTCTACACTTGAGCCAATAAAAACACATTACCCTTAATATCAAATAATTCTAAAAATAACAGAAACTGAAAAATCTTCATTATATATTCAGCCAATGTGTAATGAAGGATTCTCTATATGTTTATTAGATTATTCTGCTTCTTTGAAGATTCATTTTCAAAACAAGCTCTTTTAGAAACCTTTCAGATGGACTATATTTAAGGGGTCAATTGCTCAGGTAAATAGCCCAGTCTTGCCAGTATCTAGGATTGTGAACTTATGTTCTTTTTTTGTCATGAAAGACAGGATACACTGTGCATTGAAGAATATTCCCATATTTCCAGGGCACTCACTCCAATTCAATTACTCTTTTGCAATTGACGTAACAAAGCAAATGACATCTATTCGACTGTGCTATAGAAAGTTATAAGGAATTTCAAAAAGCAATTCATTTGAACGTGAACTTTCTTTGCACACTGAAAATAATAGGAAGCTTCTAAACAACCTCTTGAAATACCTGTAAAGAAAGTTTGAAAAGAACGACAATTCAATTAAGCTTTTTGAAAAAGGGGGCTGTATGTACCAGAATGGGCTAGTTGTGATGTGAAATGTTGTGATAACCCAGAAAGGTCCATAACTCTAGCCTATGATACAAAGACTTGTTTATCCCCTCGACAATAGTTGAATAATATACATAGAGAGCAGTCAATGTCCTTTTCAATTTTACATCAAAAAGATAGAAAATTGTCCTCCATTGAAATCTGATGTGTCTTTTGGTTGACATTTATAATTTATTAACCTACAGACCTACTTGCTTGTATTTTTAACCTTGATCCTTATTTAGTGGTACAAGTCAAATTTGTCCCTTGGGTATCTATAAAAGGATTTTAATAGCTGACATATGGAAACAGTGTCTAGTTGTTCAGAAAGGACAATAAACCAAGGTCCTGTGTGTTACAGGATGTGCACATTAAAGATCCCTTGCAAGTTGGAAATCAACTTGGAATATGCTAATTTCCATCATTGCACACTGCATGGTGTTGCCAATGTTCATTAGCCCAAATAGATATAAGTGTCTAATACTAAATACACCTACAAACTGTCCACTTTTAGAGAAATTATAATAAGTCTGGCCAATTGAGATGAAATTCAGCTTATATCTCTGATGGTTATATAGCAATTCTTCTTGGAATATCCAGTGCTTTCAGTTTCTTATGTATGTTATGCCCTCTTTATTCCAAACTTTGCTCTTTTGTCACCTGTCATTTCATCCTTTTATTTTGGTCACTGACTTTATGTAAAGATGTCATATTGGTAATATAAGAAACTTGAGTCAATTAAAACTTTTGTAAGCCATTGAAAAGAAATAGAGCTGAAACTTCTCTTGGTTATATTTAGACATTATGGTAATGTTTTTTTTTTGTTTTGATAAATTTGAAGTTGGCACGTGGAAATTTGATGTCAACTTTATTTGAAATTATCAGGGCTGAAAGTTTGACATTATTATGCTCAATGACACATAATTTGGGACAAAAAGTATGATTCAGGCAAATTTGGCAAACAATTTTACTGACTGAAGGAAGGGACATCAAACCTTTGTGATTGTCTTAGGACAGCTGATAAGTTTGTCAAGTGTCTTGTTGTCGCTCTGTGTAATTCCTGCAAATTATCAAGGTCATGGCTGTGTTTCTTCCAGGCCCTATCAGAAAAATATTGACAAAACCCTCTAAGCTTGGAACTGTTTCAGAAATTTTCTTTGGGTGTTAGTATCTACTTATTTCAAAACAATTCACATACCCTATCAAATTCTGTTTACGCTTTTTTACCTCATACTCTTCTGACCTAATTGGGCTCATGAAGACGGGTGACACAATGCAGAGTGTAATGAAGAAAATTTTGACAGGACAGCAGCATTAACATACAGGGATTGAATCCTGGACCTTCATCTTAGCAAGCAAGCATCTAACTCAAACAGTTTTTCCAAGTAATATGCCATATATACATTATAAAATATAACAACCTCACTCTGGTATAACAGAGTGTCAATTAAATTTCAAAATCAGATAAGATTTCACGATATATATTGCGTACACTTGATAGGTCTTTATTTGAAAATGAAACAGATCTTGACGATATACAGACTTGAATAAAGAGGCTCATTAATGTTTTTATAAGGATTAAATTTTGTTTTAAATTTCGTCAAGTTTCACGAGTAGGGGAGAAGATATTGTTGGAGAATTGTGCATGATATATTGACGTAACCTCGTCACAAGTGTACGTTATTTACAATGACACTGTCATTGTTAAGACTAAGATCAGTTTCAATAGACCTCTTCAATGTTGTTATATTTTTTTATACCATGTAACATCTTAATATAATATTAGTTTAGGCTCCTGATTCAATTATTTCAAATACATGGTGTTTTTCTGTGCATATTTTAATCTGAATGTTTACGGTATTAGCTTAATGTATGTTTGCTAATACTGCTCTAAGAGTTTTTGTAATATGACTTAAAGCTCTACATTCAATAAGTTTGGATGTAACATTTCTTGCAATATTATGTTGATATAGTATATATTTATTTTGCGATGTGGTAATAACTTTTATAGACTTCATTCCTACAACCCATTTTTGGCCCCCCCTGAAAAATTTAGATGGCATAAAAGAGTCACTATAGTTGAGCACCCCTTCAAAAAATTTGGCCCCTCACTGAGACCCTGGGCTAGATACGGGCCTGCTGCTCTATGCCACATAACGCAAGTTTTTTTGCAATGTATATTTGATCATATTGATCATATTCAAAATAATGAAATGTAAGGTTTTTGGCTGTCTTCCCTCCCCCTCTTATAATGAATAAACTGATCATGACAACATATCATTGTTTATTAAAATGACTATACCAGGTAGATTTATGTATGAGTACAAGGTACTACTGTAAAATCTACAAGGGAAATCATTCAAATCGTTGTTTTATAAGAATGGATAATAAGGACAACTTGATTGCATAGTTTGAATCAAAACAATTAGCGGCATGTATTCATTGTCAAAACAAGTAGAGATGCATATTATTAAAATGATGATAATATCTGGAATATGTTTACAAAATATACACTGTATGAATTAGATATACAGATAAACCTAACAATACAGTAGTCACATAGCAATATGATAAAAAAAAAACAACAATATATGCATCACATGTCTTGGGGGCTGTTATATTCACTAAGAATAAAAGTAGATTATAACATAGATAACATACAATATATATATACTGAATATTGAGAATAAATAACATGGGGTATATTATAATGGTCACATATGGGGTGTTTGGAGACTAAATGGGAGATAACTCATCTGCCAATCTTTCAAACTTTACCATAAATTATCTTCCACATAGATACACTCCAAGTAGACCACTGTTAAGATATAAAAATCTGTCTGTTCAGGAAACAACTATCATAACAGAATTATTCTGTAGCTTCTAAATCTCTTCATATTTCAAAAATCTGAATGAAATTGCAATTCCAGACAACAATGTTCATATCTTCATAAAAAGGGTATGAGGGATATAATCAAGGCTGCAACGTGTAAAAAAAAATTCATTTTGTCAGAATAATCGCTTGATATTTTCATGCCACAAAAAGTAGTGAACACATGAACAAATACATACTCATTTTTTTTCTATACAAAAAATCTGTTATATGACAGAGGACTATAATTTGTACCAAAAGGAATATCAAATAGTTGTTAGTCAAATTGCTCAAAGTCTTATTCTATCATTTTAGATCTGCCACCATCCAGAGTGTGTACAAGAAAATAAGAATCAGCCTTTATTGTTATGTCGAATGTGTGATACACAGATTCACAGTAAACCTGGCTATAGTGGACATTTGGTGTTAGATTCACCACGTAAAAGTAAGTTTTGAACACCATTATCCATCTCTGAGATAGTTAGAAAATTCAGAAGGGATCTTGAAGTTGGTGCTCCATTGTTTTTATACGCCCACACGTAAGATGGGCGTATATTTTTATAACATGAATTCCCGAGGAAGTGGCTGGAATAATCATAGCTACCTGCAAGTCTTAGACATTTTCTATTGTCTATATTTACCATGAACTGTTTTATTTATCCATGGATTGTTTAGATCTTACTATCCTAGAGTCTGATGCACATCTTGTGACAAGTTAGCTGCCATGATTTCTGATACAATGCTTAACTCTGCAATCTAATATTGTACCTTTTGTACCATTGAAAATTTGTCAATCTTAAAACCATAATGGATCTGAGAAATCAGTACACAGATGAAAATGGCGAACATCTCTTGATCTTATTTGGTGTATTTATGTTTTCAGAGAAACCATTTAGTCCAGTAGCACCTCACCCACCAGACATTATTACTAGTAACTATAGTAACAGTGATGACGATGAGTCTGATGTCGAGGGTGACGTGACAGAGGAAGGTGATGTTGTTGATGGTATTTTTATTCAAAACAAAGACAGGTAAACTGTTGATTATTTTGTATTTTATGTCTATGATATTATCAAGTCATGTTTTGAGAACGTGTCCTAGAACTGTTGAATTTTTGTAGCTGTCATTCATGTCTGATTTGAAGCTCTGTTTGGTTACAATCTGAAATGCACACACAACAAATATTAAATTGTCAACTTCTATCACCAAGGTGATTTGAAAAAAAAACTTATTGAGTTCATAATCTGCTTGAGAATTGTAAAATTTATTTTTTTCTGTATTGATATAACTGATAATATCTTATACAGGCCTCAACGATCACCCAGCGAAATTCAGAAGAAGTTATTGAAAAGGAAAAAAGTTCTAAAGAAAAGATTGAAAAAACCGGTGAGTTACTTCCCTTTATATATTGTTACACAGGACTCACTGTAGTTATTCATTTGCGTTATCATGCTATTCAATTTTAAATAACTTTTTTAAGAAATCCTGGCCACTTCTCATTGTCATTACAAGGTACTGTAGAACAGTGCCACAAAATGAATCATTTTGAGTGCCCATTAAATAATGGAAATGTAGGTACTGTCTAACAAAATTAATTCCATGCCTTATAATGAATCTATAATTCCAATCTGTCCTTATGGTTTATAACTAGCAAGTCCTGTTCCCATTCATTCTTCATATCAAGTGCCCTTAATTCATGTTTCCCATATGGTGATTATTGTAAATATATTGAAAGATCACATGTATTAGTCACACCCACTAAATTCTTTCAAAATCTGCGTATTCTTTTCAAAAGACATGGTATGCACACAACTGTAGGCCTACTGTGTGAACCTACTCAGCAAATATTACCTGAATAGACAAAATTAACAGTTTGTATTTGAATTGCTTGTATTATCATTTTGAATGACTTTTTATAATCTTTAAATTGTAAATTTGAAGTCAAGATGTGTGAAAATTGTCAGTTATGTTTCAAGATGTGAAAATTCAAAATGGTGTGAAAAAGTTTGTTTTGAGATTGCTCTATGGTTAAACAACTTTCTTACAACTTTGAGAATCTGACAAAGCTGAAAAATAATTGACCATAGTTTAGACCAGTAGTAGCCAAAGTTAGAGATCGCTCTATGGTAAAGCTACATGAAAACTTTTGAAGAAACAAGAAAAGGCTAGATTCTTGACCATATATTAGTGCAGTAGTATCAAATGTTCGAAATTGCACTAAGATAAAATCTACTACTTTTTGGCTCTATGGTAAACATCCCTTACATCTTAAGGCTGAACCTTAGAAAAATTCTTGACCATAAGTTAGTCCGCTCTATGGTACAACCACAAACAAACCAGTAGTAGTAGCCAGTAGTAGTTTCTAAAACAACAATGAGAATTCAGCAACTCAATTCGCTATATATATATTAGAATCCAGTATAATGACATCACAAAATGTAGCAGACAGAGATTTTTCTCCACCTTTGTCCAGATACAGGGTACTTGGCATAATCATTCATCAATCAGGGTGTTCTTGGCTGTGAGACGACTTCATCGATGACGACAAAATATCTTTTATATTTCTCAATTTACGGAAAGTAATATATCATCCACCCCTTATTCAGACAGTAATATGGCTGATAAAATATCCTCCAATCTAATATATCAACAGTTATTTCAGTCTAATGAACTAAAATTAGATTGCTGATCTAAATATAACTTTTTTTGATCGATTTGAAATTTTTAACATCAAAGAAGCTATTTAGGATTTTTAATTTTTTATACTGAATATACTCTTGTATTTCTTAGTATGTGAAAGAAATAGGTTTGGTTTGATGAAAAGAAAAGTTTAAGACCGTAATAAAGTCTACCTTTGATTAATTATAAGATGCTGACAGGTGTTGATTACATTTCTTATAATTTTTAAAAAAGTGTTAACTGACATAAAAAATAGTTAATGATAAAACTACCAGTGCATCTTGTATTTTGTTAACTTGTTTACCTATATATATATATACAGTGATAAACACAAATTTTTTTGTCAACTTGGCAGTTCTAAATCACTAAGCCCAATTTTATTTTGGCAAAAACTATTACAGAATAAATAAAAAAAAGAACAGGGCCATATCTAGTAAATGCCTTAGCTTAGGGGAAGGTTTAAACTGAAATTTGTCTCTCAGAGACTAGACCCCTTCAGCTCTCATACTCACATCTTGAATTTTACAAGACAAAATTGTATCAGATCTTCCAGATTGATGATAATAAGCATCCTGTTGTTTGTACTCTTTTACAATGAAATATGAATATTATGCAATCTTACTGGAAGCAGCCACTGGAAATTGGCTCAGAGCGTGTTAAGGTTGCCATAAGTGTGTAGGACATGCCAAATATCGTGCAATTGTTAGAATGCACATGGTCGCAGTCCGGTGTGACAGGTTATAAACAAAAAGTTTATTTGCCAGTGTATACCAATTGATAGTTATTCCGATAGAACTGGAGAGAACTAAATTACTTTTGCAGTGCAAAATGGGTATAAGTTTTCCAAAATGATAATTACTCAGGTTTATCTTTTTGAGATTTTAAGTCGTTTGAAGTTTAAGTCAATTGTTATAATATCTCACAATATTTTTAGCAATTATCTTTTTTATCATGAATGGAATTTAGCAATTTATTTGCTCAATGCATCAACAGAACTGTATCTAATTGAAACTCAGTCAACCTACTGGATATTCACATCTTTTTCCTAGGAGCATGATGACATTAACCCATACTTGACCATCTTTTTCTGACCTTAAAGGGGTTAAAATTCTGGTATCTATGATATAATTATTACATGGATGACCTGCTTGTGTTCAGGGCAGGATGATTATCCAAAAAATATACCCTCAAATCGTTACCTCTCATCACCCTAATGAGGACAATAGGTCAAACCAGTGTATAATATCCTAGAATAAGTGGATGAATCTATTTAAGAAGTAGAGGGGTGTGGTCTAGCTGAATTCACCTGTAATTTGTTATCTGTCATTTATTATTTATTATAGTTATTAATAAGTTTTATTACCTATGAGATGTTTTTTCGTATCATATTTTTATGAGTATAGTGATAATAATTTTGAATTAATATTTTTTCATCATGGAATGTTTTAATATTATTTTTTAAGTGATAAATTGGGACTCGTGTGATTTCATAATCTACACCTTGATTTTATTCTGATTTTTCATTGTTCGTTAAAGCTGTCGGTAAAATTTGTGGATTACAAAAAGTTAATATTTTGGAATATACTGGTTTTGTTAAGGATAGCTTTAAAGTTCCATCTTTGAATTTGGATATCTTGATTGGATATTTTTGGTGTTTTTTGGTTATCATTGGATCATTGTGAAAAAGTTGTAGAATACCTAATGAATTTGGATTTGTAATATCCTTTTGTGTAGCTTGCGCAATTTATGGTGTGATAATATAAAACTCCTGTTTGTTTTAAAGTGAAAGAAAAATTTCATTTAAAAATGAAAAGATTTACATATTATTAGTGTTTACCTTGGTATTCATCAAAATGTAAACAGGTTACCGATTTCTAGCAAAAACTTTGAAATTTACTTCACTGAAGTATTTACTAACAAGAATTGGATAAAATTGCATCTTATTACAAATTAATTATTTTAATTTTAAACAACAGTCAAAGAAATTGAAAAACACCCATATTCTTCAAGAAATACTATTATGAACTGAACTTATTCAAACGTGAATAAAATGCCATGTTATTAAAGATTTAGTCTTTAAAACTTAGCATCATTTTATCTGAATCAATTTAAAAGTGAATAAATTTGCATATAATTATAAAAAGAGTTAATTAATATGCTATTATAATATAATAATTTTATACAAGATGTAATACAAGCCAGTGTATTATAACCAGGTGTTAAAACTCATTATTATATTGATTTTTATAGTTTGACTTCCAGATTATAATATAGAAAATTTGATCTCACTATTAATACTCGGCATAATATTCAAACCGTTGGCCTCTTGTACAATATGTAGATAGAAAATATGAATTTATTGCAAACTTTATTGGAGGTAAGGAGCTTTGATTTATAACTTAGACTGAGAACTTTTATATAACTAAGACTGAGAAAAAAATATAACTTAGACTGAGAACATAATACACCTTAGACTGAGAACACAATATAAATTAGACTGAGAACATAATATGATTAAGGCTGAGAACACAATATAAATTAGACTGAGAATACAATATAATTTAGACTGAGAACATAATATAATTGAGACTGAGAATGCAATATAATTTAGACTGAGAACATAATATAACTTAGACAGAGAACACAATATAACTTTGACTGAGAACATAATATAATTTAGACTGAGAACACAATATAACTTTGACTGAGAACATAATATAATTTAGGCTGAGAACACAATATAAATTAGACTGAGAACACAATATAATTTAGGCTGAGAACACAATATAACTTAGACTGAGAAATGTTTCTGATAAATGCTGAAAGGTTAATAAAATGTCACTTTGGAAAAACTGATATAACAGTTCACAGACAGTTACATGTGCATTGTGAAGTGGTCAGTAAACTCATTAATTAACATTCTACAGGTTATATTTGTTAAACTATCAGTTGATCAATAGATCATAGTGATACTGAAATTCTAAAAATTAATTTGGTTATTTTTGTTGTTGGGGACAAATAAATATGAGCAGGTGCAGCGAGTTCAGTTTGGAGCATATATTATGATGAAACAGGAATTATGACAATTTATTTTGTGCTCCAATAGTTAAGTGGATTAAAAATAATAATTTTCCTGGATGAATTAGTTATGAGTATGACCAATGATAATTAGCAATATTAATTATTATATGGTCTAATGATTAAGTAAATAAGTTGATTTGTTTACTTGGCCTGGTTGTTTGTTAATAATATAATATTTACAAGGCTGAAAAAATATTATTTTGGTCCTTTTGAACTGAATATAAATCAGCTAGATTTTAATGTCGTCTGCATCAGAAAACTGAATTTTAAAAATAAAAATAAGGAAAATAAATTTTGACAATGACAGCTTAATTCATATAGCTTTCAGTCCCTCCTTTATAATGGTATAAAAAATTGTGATTTGAAAAGAATTTTGTGTATTATGTAACAACTGAAGGGCAATAGATCTCTATTTTGAGTGTTCTTGAAAACCTTAAAATGACAGGCAAAATCTGCGCATTTCCAGAATCCGGATACTGGTTGGTAAATGTTATGTCCCAGCCTTATTGGATACTGGTTGTATTTGTTACTTCTTACTTACTGGTAAATTAAGTGAAAAAAATGTCCCTGATTGATTGACTGTAATGATAATGTTAATATTAAGATCAATAAAGATTAGTTAAGTTTGATTTGGCCACACCCTAACCTTCATACCTGGCACAATATTGATTTATAATACAGCTAATATTATATAGGTCAATAAAACACAATAACATAGCATTTCCTGATTAATTATTATTTACTTCTATTCTTCATTCTTGTTATGGAGCTATTTGAGATTATTTTGTCAACTCAGCATTTCTTTTGGAAGGGAATGAAATGAGTTTATGTCATTTTTTATGGAGAACCCACTTTATTGATATCTTTTGCTTGGCATTTGTATGGAATTTAATCCAATGTTCCATTGCTCGTGCAGTTGCGCACTTAAGAGAAGTTGCCAGTTTCATTTCAGCATTTGCAAGGATGGCTCTTTCTGACTTCCAACCCGTTTGGATTCATGCAGATCTCTTGGCATTTATTCATGGTTCCTCAATGAGTTTTGCACCTTGTCTTTGTGGTAATCAAAGTTTTGACATCAACATTGGTAAAAAAAATGTCTTTCTCTTTGATAGTGATACAGGTTAACCAAAAGAAATTTACATGTGCACATTAGCTTCTTAAATAGTTGGAACCTAGTAAAGTTATTGTCATGGCTGTGCACGGTGTTCGCAGACGTGCAGAAAAGTATCATGTTAAACTCCCGTTAAAAGTTCTTATCCAAATACTAGACAAGTTATAAAAAGATCAATAGCCTGCAATATGATAAATCTTTATTGAATAATATTATTGATATTTATCTTCTATTTCACAAAGTCTCTGATTATTTGACCTTTTTGAAAATGTTATCTTGACTTTCTGATATGGTGCAATACATAAGCCTTGCATTTTTCTAGCAAAAAATTACAAAACAATTTATGTTTTGCCAACTGTAGTAGCCATTTTGTTGAAATGTTTTTGAAGCCAGACATGCAATCTAAAAAGGTGACTTGCAGGATGTCAGAAGGTTTTATAGACAGAAAGTGATGTGTTTCTGCATTATAGGGACAATTCAGGGACTATCTCCTATCTGTTATGTTGATGGTATAGGATCTAATATTTTCACTTGTTGGTTTTCGTGAAGGATAGTGTTATACATGTCTGTGAAAGGCTTCACATCTTTAAAAAGGTGGTGCTGATGTTTAAGTTTAAATTTTCTGCTTTGAAAATTGATGAAATAATGGACAAGTTATTTGTATGTCATAAAGCTTGATATGTCTCATGGATTATAGGTATTGATTTTGTAGTGCAGAAGAGCAGGTGCTGATCTTCTAGATTACAATTTTGAATGCCATGAATGGATGCCAGACATAGATTTTGCATTGCTTTAGTGAAGCAGAGCATACATGCTCATAATTACAGAGCACAGGACCTGGTTTGCCAATTTAGCACCCTGGACAGAGAGCTAATATTGTCCATTTGTTAACTTTATTATGGCACAATTTATTTTCAATTTAAAAGTTTTTTTAGTGCTTGAAGGTAACAGCTTTCTCTTAAAAATAAACTGAGTTTGAAGGGCATTTTGTGTCCATTGAACCAACAATATATTTATATCTGAGCAATAAAAACTACATCATTAACACTTCTAGGTTAAAAATAAGCAATAAAACTGATTTCGATAATTGTAAAAGTGAAATAAGGTAGATGAACTCAGCAGGGGTTTCTCGCTAAAGTGATGACCATTTAAATAGTTGTCAGTATCAGTTGATTGGTACACAATGGTTTGAAGTATATCATAGAAATAAATAAATTTTGGAGTACTTTTCACATATTTTTATTAAATATTAAGTCATTATAAATCATGTAAACAACAATTTTACATGATTAAAGTGATTGTATAGAGTTTTTCTAAACTTTATATGTGTATCATGGACACTGATAGCATTGATTTGAACCATTCCAACTTTCAGTCATTCCTTTGTCTTATTTTGCTATTCCACTAACACCTGTACAGTCAGGTAATTCTTTAATTCAATGAATCACAGACATCTTAAAAATGAGATTCCTTATTTTTTTAGTTTTAAATTAAGTAAACTATTTGATTAAAATAAATTACAATTATTCTTAATCTTATATTATCATTATGTTCTTTATTGCATATAATTAAGAGTTTTAACCAATCATAAATGTCTATGTAGGCTATGTACAGTCTGGATAAACAAAAAAAGACTTTTTGACCATTCTTGATTGGTCACTTATTGGAATTCTGTTGGTAATTATCTTATAATTTAGCTTATTTTGAATTGATTATGGACGTATTTTTCCAAATCATTAGAACACCTCTACTTTCTATTCCTATAAGTATTAGTATTCATAATTGAAAATAAGGGAACCCATCTTTAAGGAATAATTGAATGATGCAAATAGAAGTCATAAATGGTCCAGATACACATAAAAAGTTTTGAAAGCCACTTTACAGTCCCTTTAAAAATGTGGTCATTCATGTGAAGTGAGCCAATAAATTCCAGAAATATTGGCTTATAGTTATCTACTTCAAATATTTGAAAGAGTGTAGCCAAAGTACAAGACTAATGGTCAAAACAAGATCGTAAAGATATGAATAGTAGCCTTATATCCTTGGCACGTTTGTTTTGTTCTGTATAATGTTGGACATAATCAGTTGTAAAAAATGACCATGATTTCTTTTATAATAGTTGTAGTTCACCTTTGCCGAAATTAATGTCTATGTTTACAATTTGATGGCATATGGGTAATTGTTGAATTTAATTTCCAATTCTTGATGGTTCTTGCTGTAAAGATAAAAAAAAAGTAAAAGTGTACATTAAAAACAACCTGCCTGTCACATAAAGCTTAACAATAGAAATTACAAACTTAAAGCATACTTCAGTGGCACAACAATTAACTTTCACAAATACAAATGCCATTTTTCGATATTTTTTGTTATGTTATAGGTTCATTAACTTACAGTATAATTCGGGGTCCAAAAACATCCATGTACATTGGTTGATTCAGAACAATTGAATTATTTGCTCACTGTGAAAATCTTCACAAAATAAGCTCATGCCACATTAAAAAACTTGCAAAATTTCATGAAAATGTAAGGCTGTATAAAATTTTCAGTTTCAGAAACATCTGCCTTTACACCAGCTTCTGATAGCTAGTTCTTCTGACCCTACATCAGCCGAAAACTGTCAAAATATCTATCAGAATCTGGATTATACGCAGATGTTTTGGAGACTGAGCATATATTTTAATTATGAAAATGATGGGGAATCTTGAGATGAAGGGAGAGTGCTAAAAGGGCAAAATGTGCAACACTTGATTTGAAGTAGTTATGTCTGATTTTTCCAACCCTAAGGTCATCAACCAGCCACTTTATTAAAGTCAGTTTACTATAAAAGGAAATTTTTTTTCACTTGTCTCAGAGTCGCGACTACCTGTCATATTCAATGATATCTGATTGTAGTTTCTGACGTCACATAATTTTAAAGTTTTGAATGAAAACATTTTGACAGAAGTGTGAACAAAAAAACACTTTTAAATTATGTGTAGATGTCAGTTTTCTCTTTAGGCTTTGGTTGTCATGGTAATTTAGCTCTTTTGGATGTCTCTTATGAAGTGCATTTGAAATGTGCTGGTTCATTCAGATAGTTCATTGTTGATTGAAATTTGATTGGATTCTTCCAGATTTTTTGCGATTTTCACTTAGTTTATGAAGTGTTGTTTGATGCACTTTCTTCTCACTAAGGATTTATCGAGATTTAGAAGTATATTATATTTGTCTCTATTAGATCCAGTGGACTTCTCAATGTTCTGCCATATGCTTTTGATACCTATATCTGCAAACTTTAGAAACTGAAGCTGTGATTTCAAGTGATAAGTGACATGTGTATTATATAAGAAGGATATAAGTGATTCCACCATGGATAAAAGAGACTCGTTAAAATCAGCTAGTATCAGTGCTGATGAGATTCTGGCTCTTCTGGACTTTTTACAAAAGGTTGGTTTGTAATCTAAGAGATATTTTAGGGATAGAGTTTAATTTAAGTGGTATCCCATGGTAATTTTCAATTCAAAATGACCTCTTTTGGGATCTGATATTTCCTTCGATTAGTCAAAATACAATTTATAATGACGATCTGTCAAATTATATATTTTAAGGTTTATATAATTGAACATTTTGTATTAATACCTATTATTTTTAAAATGCCAATCAAAATTTAACTTGATTAGTTTACCAGTAGTTTTTCATGAAAGTTTTTGATTTTATTGATGCACAAGATGAACTCTAGTCAATTAGGATTAAATACCTTTTATGTATTGACATTATTATGACTAAATGGGGCCTACCATTTACTGCAGGTCAAAGATGACCTATGACTTATTATCTAATGTAGTGAACTGCTAATGATTCAGTATCAGTATTAGAAATCAATTAATATTGTTACAGATTAGAACTATTTACAGCATTCTTATCTAGAACTTTCTATCATTAAATACATGGAAGGTCCAGGCAGTTACAGTCTAGAATTATATGGGAATGACCAGCCCATGTTTTTCATGCTTCTTTGATGTGTTCATGGATACTAAAGTAATAATAAGTTCCTGGAACTATTTCAAAAGCATTGGATTTTGTATTACAGTATTTAAAGATGTCACCAATTTAAGACATGTCAATCATTGGAATAACTGTTGATTATAAGCTTAGCATGTGCTAATGGATTTCAGTTTTGTATTTATTCCACACTTGGTACTGCTACTGCTTTGAAAAGAGCTCCAATATATATTCTGGACATTTAAACCAAATAGGCCAACTTTTTTGTTTAAAACAACAATCAGTATCAACTAGAATTAAAGGGATTGTAAAGAGGTTATCTAAATTTTTTATGTGTATCTGGGACAATGGATAGCATCAATTTGCATCATTCCAATTTTCAATCAGATGTCTTTGGTTCTAGCAATTCTACTTAAACTAAGTGTTTTATGACGTCACCCACAAAGGTCTTATGTGATACAAGCATATTCACTTAGTTTTAGTCGAATTGCAGGAACCACAGACGTCTGATTGAAAATTGGAATGGTGCAAATTGATGCTATCAGTGTCCCCGATAAGCATGAAGAATTTAGAAATCCTCTTAACAATCCCTTTGATTAGTAAACTAACAGCCAAATGGAAGTAAACATGAAGTACTAGAAGAAATTTTTCTTAAATTTTGAATTCTTTATCTCATTGCAGGAAGAAGATGCGATATCAAATGGAGGCCAGTCCCCTGAAGCTGGTATTGCCCCGGTAACTCCAACCATGGCAAACTCCCCATCGCATGACCAAGAGATCACTGACGGGAATCAGGATAATCCAGATAATAAAGATGTTCCAGAGATCTCTGAAAATTCCATCTTCTCCTTCAACTACCAGGAACTGAGCTCACCAATACGATCTCCAGTCAGACGCCAATCTCGGGTAAGTCTTATTTTGTGTTTAGTGTTTTTATTTATTTGCTTGTTTCTGTATTTAGTTCCTGCAGACAGAGTATTCTAACACTCTTGCCCATCATGAAATTATTCATAGGTCAAGACAATATCTTTAGAGTTTTCAATCTGGTTTTCCACCTGTCAGTAATGCCGGGGGATAACCTGGAAAAATTGTCTAGTCATTCAGATGAGACAATAAACTGAAGCCCTGTGTGCTACAGACTGTGCACATTAAAAATCGCTTGACAGATGGAAATCGAAAAATAGTAGTCTAGTGTTGCTATCCTAGCAATCATTGCACACTGCATGGCGTTGGTTGCCTACATTAGTCCAAATAGGTGCAGAAGAGAAGAACACAAAACTCATTCATTTTCCAACTAAAGTGCAATTTAACAATCCTAGTATTTGACATTAGTAAAGTACACTCTTTGATGTTGCGCATTGAATTTGAACAGTTGAACATAAATTTCAGAGTCATTACTTTGATCTTGTACAAGTCTACCAAATAACACCATGATTTATCTTTCAACTTGTCAGTAATTCAAATTTTAAAGATTTTATAAACACCAAGTTTGCCAGGAAAATGTTTTAATGATTATATTTCTGATTTTTAAATCAGAGATCCCCATGGATTGATACCATTACCAATTTCAAACTGTTCAAGGACATTTTGATTAAATCATGTTTAAAATACTCCTTCTGTTATAAGATAAAAGCAGTTATTTTGTGCTAACTCCATTGCCCACAGAGAGCTGTTGTAAATCAGTTAATTAAGACTGTTGCTGGCTAACCTGATGGTCTTGGTTCAATCCTTGCATAGGGCAAGATAATCCCCTTGATTTTACAACCAAGTTTGTCTCTGTCAGTGATGCAGGTAAGACTGACATGGAAAAAGTGTCAAGTCATTCAGATGGGTCAATAAACCTAGGCCCTGGGTGCTAACATCCTTCAACTGTTGGAAATCGAAATACAGTAATGCTGATGCTGCTTTTCTAGCAAAATTTCCCTCATTGAACACTGCATTTCATAAAAGTCCATTTCATTTCATTGAAACATGGAGTGAAAATTAATATGAAAATGCATGTTCCATGCTATCTCTAATTAATGGAGATAAGCTGCGATCAGTATACAGCTATAAGCAGGGAATGTGCCAGAATTTCTATGTTAAAACCTGTTTTGTGTATATTTTGATGTAAATTTAATGAGTTGGCTTATAAAAAATTACAGTTTTTATGTTGTTAAATTCTGTGGTTATTTTTCTGTTCAGCCACCTGGAATGACATAAGTTCTGCATTATCTAACATCTCTAGGTAATATATGCTGTGTTTTTGATATTATAATTAACCACTTATCCATTCATGATAAAAGTCTGTACTCCAAAGTAGACCATCACAATTTTCAATCAGACGTCTGTGGTTTCTGCATTTCCACTAAAACGAAGAGCTTTATCGAAGAGCCTTTTGTGATGAAGCATATTTAGGGATTAGTGATGTCATGGAATAGTGCAAATTTACGCTATCAGTGTCTCTGATACACATACAAAATTTCAATATCTCATTACAATCCCTTTAATCAGATTGAAAAGAATTTAAAGTTAAAAAAACTGTGCTGATCTTCATTTGGTGAAGAGTAAAAAGTTTGGCACTGTGGTTTAATTTACCATCTACCATTTATTGGAATATATTTTGTCATACATTTCTATTTTAGTCACATCCCACGCATCAGTCTAATAATCTATGTAAGAAGTTGTTAATGTTTTGCTAATTGGTAGTGATTATTGTCTATTATTGTGCTATAGATTGATTCTAATATCTGTCAATTATCTGAGATATTACGCACGCCATGCTGTTAGAAATAATGTAATTCAAGATAAGCGTAAGACTTGCAGTAGTGAGCATTCTCATTGGTTGATACTTTTGAAGTGCGGTAATTGACCAATCAGATTTCTTGAAGTCAACAAGGTACAATAATAGCAAGAAGCAACAGAACAATAGCTCAATTACTTTTACCGCGAATCAGAGTATTCTAAATGCTTGAGCAATGACTTGAAACATAGATATTTTTTTAGCCCACAGCCCGTCTCAAATCAGGCTTCACCCATGTCCTTCCCCCCATCCCCACTTGCTTGTAAACACTTTTAAAGCAAAATTCTTTTCAGACTATGGCGAAACTTGGTGAAATTGTTTATTATCGACCACGAAAGAACCCTATTAAGAATTTAAGATGTATATATATTTAGAGTTATTGCCCTTGTTCTTGAAAATGCAATCAATATTTAGCTTTCTTATACAACAGAAGGCACAATTGTTGATTTTTGATAAAACTTGGTGAAATTGTTTATCATCACCCTATCGCATAGAAATGAAATTGAAAATATTTGTTTGCGAGTTATTGCTACTGTTCAGTCAAATGTTCACTTAAAAACAAAGCTGCCAGTGGGCATATATTACCTTGCCTGGCAAGCTATCAGTATCTATCAGTTACATTCCCACATAACTGAATTTACCAGTGATGTCTGACTAGATATTCAGGATGTCCTGACATCAATGAACAACAATATTTTTTAAAAGTAAACATTTTCAAGATCAATTCCTGTTTAAAATCATTATCTTTTTTTTGACGATGAGTAAAATTAGTTTCATAAACATCACACACATAAACTTCTCATCAAATTATTCAACATCAAACACATGAAAGTCCTTTCAAAAATAAACATCCGTGAAGTTATCTCCCTGTTAACATACCTGTTTGAATGATGTTTATTTAAGTAAGATATGATATAAGATAATTTGTATTTACAGATTGGTAATGATGAGTTTTTTACTGTGAGATTCTCAGATGATGATAGTGATGTAGTGTGATATAATATAAGATAATTTGTATTTACAGATTGGTAATGATGAGTTTTTTAATGTAAGATTCTCTGATGATGATAGTGATGTAGTGTGATATATTATAAGATAATTTGTATTTACAGATTGGTAATGATGAGTTTTTTACTGTGAGATTCTCAGATGATGATAGTGATGTAGTGTGATATATTATAAGATAATTTGTATTTACAGATTGGTAATGATGAGTTTTTTACTGTGAGATTCTCTGATGATGATAGTGATGTAGTGTGATATATTATAAGATAATTTGTATTTACAGATTGGTAATGATGAGTTTTTTACTGTGAGATTCTCAGATGATGATAGTGTGATATATTATAAGATAATTTGTATTTACAGATTGGTAATGATGAGTTTTTTACTGTGAGATTCTCTGATGATGATAGTGATGTAGTGGTTATTGCTGCTCTTCAAAACCAGACTCTCAGGTTGGTATATTACTATATCTATCTTGAATACACTTACAAGTGCTCTTGCTCAATATATTATGTATATGTAAATCATTGTAAAAATCACTAAGCCACCTAATAAGGGGTTAAGAATTTACATAGATCATTTAATCAACCTAGAAAGGGCCAGGCCAAAGTAGCAGTAAGCCAAATTTGAGGGGAAATTCAAAGATATTAGTGAGCCAACATATAGGGAGCGGTAAAAGGAAAAGATGTTTTAGATGGCAGTAGTAAGCCAGCTCAGAGGGTGTAAGGGATAAAAAGTAATATAAAATGTGATATATAATAATAAATAAGAGCATTATCTAATTCAAAACAGAAGATAATGACTGAATCATAGCATTTAATTCAAAACAGATGATAATGAATAAGGTGTAAACAATTTGATATCAGTGCAATATTAATTACAAAATTTAATTTCAAGTATATCAGGTATTTTGATATACACCTTGAATATATAGATGTTGAACTTCTGCCAATAATTCAGGTTTTTATCAGGAATTTGTTTAAAACTTTTCAAAACACATCAATCTGCAGGTGAGAATATAGTCTTTTAAGTTTACATCATTGATAGAAACATTAATAGGAATAGAAACTAACTTTGAAGAAAGAAGTTCAATTAAGATTACCTACTGATTTATTTAATTCAGAATTTGTAGTCAGTTAAGAAATAGCAACAGAATTTTGTAATTTGTACAAAGGATATGAATTTAATGGGATTGTAAAAAGTTTTTCGAAAATTTGTATTGTGTATCAGGGACACTGATAGCATTGATTTATGCCATTCCAATTTTCAATCAGATGTCTGTGGTTCTTGCAATTCCACTAAAACCATGTGTTTTGTGATGTCACTATTGCACTACTGTCCTTATATATCAATAGTACTTTGTGATAGTGACATCATAAAAGGCTTAGTTTTAGTGGAAATATAAGAACCACAGACATCTGAAAATTAAAATAGTGCAAATTGATACTCAGTATCCCTGATATACATACATTTTTTAGAAAACCTCTTTACAATCACTTTAAATCTGCAATAGTTCAACTGTGAAAATGTTGCAAATTTAGATTGTAAAAATCAAAAAATATCAAAGTGCTTATAGAAATTTGTTTGAAATTTGTAGAGATGCCTTGGGACCAATTTTTATTGAGAAGAAAGTTGATATAAGGAAGTATGATATTTATGTAACAGATTCTAATACACCATTACCTATGGAATGTAGTACGTTTTTATTAGCTGGGGCTACTCTTAGAGTCAAAGGTCAGTTTTTTTTGTCATTTCTTTTTTGTTTGCTTTTCAGATTTTTTTATTTGTGTGTCTTTTGTATGTTTGCTTTTCAGAAGATAACATGAACACAACCAGTCATTTTGAAACATTGGTCATGCATGGCTGGCATATCCCTCATATCAAAAACCCTGATATCATTGCTCTCAGTCATTTTGAAACATTGGTCATGCATGGCTGGCATATCAGTCATATCAAAAACCCTGATATCATTGCTCTTACAAATTTGCAATGTTATTTTTTTTAACAGCAAATATTACTTTCTATAAGGAATAAAAAGTAAGTCAATTCTAACTTCCACAAATTTGAACTCCATTTTCTGTAAAAGTTGGTGAATTAATGTTTGTTCTTTTGACCTTCAAAATGTTCATTTCGCCGAGAGCAAGACGTAAATCTAAAAAGACTGGAGTTAAAACAGGAATTGTCTGAAAGGAGTGATTAGGCTCCTATTGAGATCATCTGAGTTGGTCATTCACTGTATTTCTATAGACTATATGGCTACATTAAGTGGACTTTACAAAGATAGAAAAGGGAAGTGATGATAGTGAAATGGTAGTTGACAAGTTAACAATGAAGTCAAATCCTCCAATCAATATGTTTTATAAATCAGGATACTTCTCTCTATCTCTCTCACTTCTTGTCAGAAACAGCCATATTTTACACCCCATCTTTCCATCATAACTTATAAACTTATCTTATAGTTTCTCTATGCCTCATATCCTTTGTTTTAATGGACATTCTGTCTACTTTGGTCTTATTCAGAAACATTGGAAGCCCCAGTCTCCTGAGACTAGGGTTAAAATTAAGGGACAACTGTCGAGACTGAATTAAAATTATGGCAACTCTGTGGAGGTGTCATTGTACTAAGTCTCTAATGGAGTGTCTGAGATTGAATTGATTTAGTACATTCTAAGACACATATTTTAAGGCAAAAACATATAAAAATCACCATATAAAAGACATATTTTTACATTTTTTAAATATTTTTCTCAGAAACAACATGTTTCAGGTTCTGTATTAAAATGTCTTCACACACAAACATAAAGACATAACATAAATATGGTTCACCATTAATGGTGAATGTGTTAAGAGATTCACAAGATACAATAACACCATTATTTTCATTAATATAAGAATTAGTTGATGGTACTTGCTTCGGAAACAAGAATTGAATTTCCAAAATCAAGATCGAAGATGGTAAGCAAGTATACACACTGAACATAGTGAATCTATATCAATTGACTGCCATCTCCTGTCTAGAAAGTGTTCCTACTCCAGTAATTGTGGTAAAGTAGGAGAGAAACAAACAATAAGAAATAGATTGAGGGTAGAGGGGTTGACACGTCTACTATATTATATTGATTATATATCAACTCAGATTTCACCTTTATAATCTAGGATTCCTTATATCTCTTTCAATAGTTTCAAAATCAAAAAAGTCCTGAATAACTGGTCTCATCATTGACAGGACTGTAGTAGAACACTCTTATTTCAATTCATTAGCTGCAGAATAAATAATAGGCTTAATGTAAAACTTAACAAATCTACAGGATGCGTTTTCATAACCCAATAAGGTTTAAACGGAATCTGATCCCCTTCATTTATACAAGAAGCTATGCCATGACTTCAAAAATTTATAGAGATGAAATGTTCAATTTGGAAATATCAAAATCAACAAAACATGGCTTGAAATTTTGAAATTTTTGTAGAGGTGTTACTGCACTTGACCCAGTTCTTGGCTAAATGTAAAGTTGTGTACAATTGCCAAAAAGGTACTGAACAATATTTGGAAAAATAACATTTTTTTCTATTGCCCAAAAAGCTGCAAGATACTTTGCTAATTAAAATACAGAATGGTTTGATCTTATTTGAATTGCACATAAAGCTAGAAGGATAGAAGACTACATTTCTTATGCAGTTTTCTTTTATTCATTGAATCATATAACTTCAGACTTAAAATTTACTTTCTGTGAACTAAAGTCTTACCCAATAGACCTGAATCTGATAAAACTATTGCTCGTTATTAACAGAAAAGTAGGATGTAAAACTCCATTCATTTGATTTCTCAATTTATTTAGAAAATTTCTTGTATGAATTCAATATCATGTGTGTCATGTAATCAGACCCATGTTCAACTTTATTTCTCATCACTCTACAAGTCAATCAAACCTAACCTACTGACTTTGATATGATGAAACCATTGCCTTCTAGTTTGGTCTGGTAATTCTTTATAACTTGATGATTAAATTAAGATCATCAAAAATTTTGACAACTATCGATTTCATCTCTTCTAGAAACCATTAGGACTCTTTCAATCCTTTGGCTCAATTTCAAGTTTCATCTGATTGCATTAGACTAATCTTTGGTCCTAGATGATGCTCGATGAAATTTCAATAATCAAGATTCAGATATGAACAGCTATATTAATGAATAGTTGAAATATATCTAATTATAGAACCACAAACAGTTTAATATATTTGGAGTATGAAAAGCCCTGTGTCATATCAAACAACATAGCAATGGTATCTTTGAATAGTCCAAGATGGCTGTTTACTTATGTTTTTCTTTCAAGTGACAGTTAATTATAGAATCTAATAAATCGTTGTGTTAGACGGTGATGAGAACGTAGTCTCATAAAAGCACTGGCCTAGGTCACAAAGTATAGACTCATGTTAAAATAAGGTGCAATAGTTAAGAAAATATTAGAAAGTTAATTAATCATGGCTAAGATTTAGTATTCTGAACAATCAAATGAATTGGTCTGATTTTATGCAAATGTTTAAGGCTTTATGTATATTAATGCCCAGTATGCTGTTAAATAGTAATGAAACAATCCATTTCATTTCATTTCTTATCCATAGCTTATTATAATGTTGAAAAGTAAGATGTAAAAATCATTTTATTTCATTAGCTGAGTAAGATTTTGAAAAGTATAGGATAACAAAACTTATTTCATTTCATTAGCTTAACAAGGTTGAAAAGTAAGATGAAAATTCATTTCATTTCATTAGCTTAGCAAGGTTGAAAAGTAAGATGCAAAATTCATTTCATTTCATAAGCTTAGCAAGTTTGAAAAGTAAGATGCAAAATTCATTTCATTTCATAAGCTTAGCAAAGTTTTGAAAAGTAAGATGAAAAGTTCATTTTATTTCATAAGCTTAGCAAAGTTTTGAAAAGTAAGATGAAAAGTTCATTTTATTTCATTAGCTTAGCAAAGTTTTGAAAAGGAAGAATTTATTTCATTTCATTTGAGTAAGGTTTTGAAAATAACGATGTTGAAGTCATTCATTTCAATAGCTTAATAAGGTGTTGAAAAGTAAGATGAAAATTCATTTCATTTCATTAGCTTAGCAATTCACTTCATTTCATTAGCTGAGTAAGGTTTTGAAAAGTAAGGTTTTGAAAAGTAAGATGTTGAAGTCATTCATTTCAATAACTTAATAAGGTGTTGAAAAGTAAGATGAAAATTCATTTCATTTCATTAGCAGAGTGATGTTGAAAAGTATCGACTAATTCATTTCATTTCCAAAGCGTAGTAGTAAGGTGTTGAAGAAAAAGATGTACAAATCATTTTATTAGCTAAGCAATTTGCTCAGTAGTGGAATAAAAAATGTATATTTTATTTCCTTAACCCAGTTAAAATATGGGAAAGTAGAACATACAAATCCCAATTTATTTCCATTGTGTCCAGATTAGATGGAAAGAATGTGGATATGTAGGGAAATTATATTATCATTTGACCTTCAGACAACATAACAATAAAAATCTCATTTCATTGAAATATTTTTGTAGCATTTTTAATCAGGAAAACATGAATGTAAAGTAAATCATGAAAAATAACTGTTTATAAAATCCAATTTAGAAAACATAATTTCATTTTTGAGCTTGTAAGTTAACGCTAAAATATTAGGTTCAGGCAGAACCTACAAATTCTCCCTCCAGAGAAAAAGATTTATTTTCAAATCGAACTCTTTTAGAACTAAAGTTAATATTAGTCTTTAATATTTATTCCCTAGATGGGTCGTTTATTCTGGTCTCGAGACTAACATTACGTGTGTCTGGACGTCGGGAGTAAAACTAATGCCAATATTTACAAGTAACGATTGGTCAGAGGAGATGAGGCTCTAATCTTTAATCAATCAAGGCTCGCAGTAAATTGATATTTCAGCAATTAATGCTGACGTTAATTTTAAATTTAGAAAAAAGATTGAGGTTCTTATCTATGAATGAATTAGTGCTTCAGAGAATTCTGATTGATTTTCTGAAAATATTGGCTGCTGACCAAAATTTCTAAAATTAACTTTTGTTTGACTGATAAGTGAGCGAAATCAGCGCCAATGGTGTTTGAAGTACCACTATCATTTGTGTTTTCTTAAAATTCTGGACACTTTGGAAAGCCTTGATTCCTTAAAAAGATAGTTTTGTAGTGCTGCCACATGAAAAACGGTTTTTACAAAATGTTTTTAGCACTCTTCATATGTTAATATATTTGCCTAAAATAGAATACATCATATCTTGGCTGATTTTGAATGGTGCAAAACGCATCCAGACATTTTAGGAAAAGTTAATTGACAATTACCGACAAATCAGCTGCCATTATTAAAAGTCTCATTTGGATTGGAATTAAAGTATTTTTTAAGGTCAAATTTCTAAGTAGAGTTATTAGGCAGACTGCTTATCTCCCTTGAGGATGAACTAGAAGTAGAGATATGAAGTTACATAAATTCTTATCAAAGATGATGGATAGAGCAAATCTATTTTTTAAGACTGAATTTTAAGATAAAGCTGAAAGAAATTGTATTTGGCTTTGTACAAGATCCTGTATGTATCTATATATAATACATCTTTCTTATCTTGGCTGAGAATTTGCAAGTTACGTTGTGTATTACTTTGAATCATGATTGTGTGAGGGGAAATTGAAATGGTGTTTAAGGCACAGGTTCGACATCCTTTTGACCAAATCATACTTTAGTCTCAGTAATAGTTTGCAGCTGTCCGTTAAAATTTGAGCCTTCAAATCCATGTGTCCGGAATTATCCGAGAGACATATATAGAAATAGAAAATGAAATATGATGCATTTTCATACATTTCTAGTACTTATGAACATTAATAATGTACATGCGAGACCCATATCAACCCCCAAAAAATGGCGAAGCTGTCCCTTTAAATAGAGCTGTACTTGATCTCTGTCCATTACAGAAAATCTCAAGATAACAACTCATGACTATAGATGGCATGAATAATAC